TAAGGCAGTTCTGTACACACAAACCCCTGTAATATATGTTTACGAATCACTTAAAGGAGAGACCATTAAGGCAGCCATGGTTTCACCTATTCACATAAGCCTTTACAGCTCAGGCTCATTCTGACAGAAGTCCCCATGCATAACTGAGTGCTGGCCTCCCCTGACTTGCTGACAGCCTTCCCTTGCTTGGGGAGTGAATGAGCAACTCTGCAGCCCTACCTCCCAATCGGCACCTTCTGCACTTACTCAGGGGGTGGCAAACAGACATCACCCAGCTGAAATGGGCAGGGACTGCAGCTTCCCAAAGACCACAGAAAAATACACCTACAACATCAAGACACCTAGTCAGAAAAACACCATTTTGATAACCACTACATACAAGCAGAGTATGAAGAAAAAAAAAAAAAAAAAAAAAAAAAAAGCCTAAGCATAGCATAAGCTGGTGTTCTCTACATGAGAAGTAATTGTGATTTTATCTAGAGCATTTTCATCATTCATTTATCACAGGTTTAGCAGCTTTGGAAAAAGCACCAACTTAATGCAAACAACAAAGCATCCTGAGATTGTACGCACACAACGGAACATCTCTGATAAGGAAAACTGCTCCTAGCTCAGAGGTCCATGCCTTTTTTCATTAACTCAACAACACTTGCCAGCAGCATTTCTCAGCTTTTAAACCCACAGAAAAATAAAATTTGTATGAGTAAAAAAAAAAAAATAAAATAAAAAACTACTTTGAGCTTCTGAATGTAAGTGCTGTAAATGGCAACTGCATTCAACTGTTTCCGACATCCATACCTTTGTTCCATGCCCAAAGGACACAGAAAAAAATGCCTCATGATCCCAGAGCTTGTGTAAGGCCTAGGCAGGCTCTTTTGCAGCCTGCAGAACAGCTTATTTTCCCTAACGAATTTTCATTATTTCAGCTAAAAAAATGAGAAACACTACTCCAGCAATACCAGCAAGAGGTAAACAAAGTCCCATGCAGGAAGATCAGAGAAGTGCTCAAGTTATACCATAACCGAGGGGAAAAAAACCTTGGAGCTTATCTCACTTCAAGCACGTCACAGGTCTGAAGAACTGATGCTCATACAATACTCCCTGCAGTAGAGTTAAAACATAAGAATGCCACCCTTTTGACAGGTGCACAGCATTGGTGGTGCCTCCCCAAGGCATCCAAAGGAACTTGGCTATTCTAAGTGGCACTGCAAAGGGCAGCAACAAGAACTCTACCCCCAGCAGCACCTACTGCTGCAGTTCCCATACAAGTACACCAGAGACAAAATATGCAAGGATTGAAAGTTATGGCAGCCAAAAGCCTTTTCAAATGCAAGAATCAAAGAAGTTCCTGCTGTGTTTGTTTTTTCGTTTTTTTCTTTCCAAGTATTCTACCTTAAATCATAGTGAAGCACCCTGCAGAAAGGCCAAGACCAGAAATTATACGAACCGAACTGCAAATATCACAAATCCCCCCACCCTACTGGACAGGAAGGCCTGCAAGGGCTCTCCCTCAGAGAGGCTGGTGAACACACGCATCCTTACACTGCTTTCCAGGAACCGGAACAGGGAGCACCTCTCCCAGCAGGAATTGAATCCATGACTTTTTCATTTTTACTTTCTAATAAGTTTTGGAAATCATGTGCCACAACAGATTTTAGTTAATACATATAATAAGCTAGTGGTAGAAACACTTTCTGCAACCCTGGCTGCAGTTTCCTAAGAGCAGAGCACAGCTTAGGTTGTTCAGCTTCACCTCTTGCTCCTCAGCACATGTGAGTATCACACTGACATGAAAACAACAGGTCATTCACCTATTGATCAAGTTACATTGCTGAAAAGGATTATGAGATCTGAACACAGTGACGGCCATGCAGATAAGCATTTTGAAGTGTGAAACCTGTCAGGTGAAAAAGAGATCTATTCGCGAAATCTGAAAGTCCACAGACGGTTTGGTTAGTTGGGAAACAAACTCAAAAATCTACATTTTAATTAAAATGGAAAATGAAACGGACACATAAAAACAAAGGTGTTAACTTATGGAGAAAAAGAAATCCATTTTAACCAATATTGCAGAAAGACTGCACATTCAGGTTTATAAGTTTCATCAACAAAAAAAGCCCAGGAGGATCTGTGTGCCCAAATACAGAGTCAACTCAAGGTCTTAACACACACACACGCTGACCTCACTGAGAGTAAGACACGTAATGCAATACTATATTCCCAGATGAGAAACTTAGGAATCAGAACCCAATTAAACGCCCAGCAAGCAGATCAGCACATCTGTATGTTCTTCCCATATTTTTTTAACATGAGGAGTTTCTTACTTGAAAGGAAAAAAGGAAACAGTAACAACCTCCTGTTCACCACAATTACTGTTTAACAGCAGAGATACATGTCAGCTGGTGGACCACATCTGTTGAGCCCCAACCAACCAGGCCCAAGCTGGAGAAGGAGCACGCTGCCAACCCTGGGATGGAGCGCAGCCACAGCGCCCATCGCCCGCACCGGGGGACCTGAGGCACTGCAGTGCTACAGCTGAGAGGAGGGGAACCTTGATTCGTGCCCCTTACCAACCGAACACCTCGCGCAGCTCCCACCAGGCTGCTGTTACACAACGCGTTCCTGGCATCGCTTCGAGCGTTACCCAATAAATAAATGAATAAATAGAAAAACATTAAGGAAGTCTTGTGGGGATTTGCTGTTTTGTTTTAAAGCCGTAACATCGTCTAACACCGGAGGAAAGCACACAGTTACTCAGTCTATCAGCCCCAGCGCTCACACCGACCAAACCCGGCACTCCCCCCCGCCGGGGCAGGCAGGTACAGCCGGCAGCCAGCAGTCCGAGGCGGGCACCGGGCCGCGCTCCCCGCCCCAGCACCGCCTGCGAAAGCGTTGCCGCTCCCCCACTCCGCGGGCAGCGGCGAGGCTCCCGACGGCCCCGCGGCGCTCGGCCCCCCGAGCCGGGCCGGGAGCGGAGCCCCCGGGAGCTCCTCGGGGAAGGAGGCGGCCGAACGGCGGCGGGCGGAGGTCCGCGGAGGGCAGCGCGGCGCCCTCAGCCCCGCCATCACCGAGGACGCCCGCAGCCGCGGGGCGGGACGCGCAGGCTCGGCAGCCCACCCGCCCGCGGCTCCCGCACGGCCCGAGGCGACTCTTTCCCCCGCCCCCGCCCGGCCCGGAGGCCGCGGCCGCCGGCCCCGCGCCCCGTACCTGCCCGATGCCCCGCTGGGTCGCCGCCGTCGCCACCCCGGCCCCCGCGCTCGGCCCCGCGCACCCCGCGGCGGCCGCGATCGCTATGGCGGGCACACACTTTGTGCGTCACCACGCTGGGGGCCGCGTCACAAAGCGCGAGGAGCGGCGCGAGAGGAACGCAGGAGGAGAAGCCGCTAAGACCTCGCGCGCGGCCGGCCGGGAAACGCAGTTCGGGCGGACGTCGCGCGTCTGCGCATGCGCTGCTCCGGAGCGGCGCCGAAGAGCGCCTTGGGAGTCCTGGTTCACGGGAGGCGGCGCTGCTCTCGGCGCTACCCGGCGTTCACGGTCGCTGTCCGCGGGCTGCTACGACGGGCGCCGAGCCGCGGCTGCGGGCCCTGATTGCCGGCTGTCGGCGGGCTGCGGCCGGGCGTCACCTCGATAGGCGGGACCTACGGCGGTGATACGCTGGGGCCGAGCGACAGGGCGGGGCTCTCGCCATTTCCCCGCTTTTATGCCTCCTCCTTTCGCTTATCTGCGGGGTCCGAACGCCATCCTGCTCCTGCCCGGTGCCGTGGGACGGCATCGCGGACAGCGGTGCCCGAACACCCGCAGCTGCGCGGGGCCGCCTCCAGGGCGGCTCAGAGCGGGGCTGAAGCCGTTCTCAGGGTCTCCCGGGCCCCCAGGGCCTGCTCCCTTCCCACATCGTAGAATCATTACGTTTCAAAAAGTCTACTAAGATCATCGAGCCCAGCCATCGACCCACCCGCACCTGTCCACTAACCGTGTCCCTCAGTGCCATGTCCCCAGGGCTTGGCCACCCTTTCAGAGAATAAATTTCTGCTAATACCCAGTGGGAACCTCCCCTGGTGCAACTTGAGGCTGTTTCCTCTTGTCCTACCCCTGTTATCAGGGAGAAGAGGTCGACTCCTGGAGCCCCCAGTATACGAGGGATGCAGAGCTGTTGGAGCGGGTCCAGAAGAGGGCCACTAAGATGATCAGAGGGCTGGAGCACGTATCTATGAAGAAATGCTGAGGTAGTGGGGCTTGTTTAGCTTGGAGAAGACTCCAGGGAGACTTCATCATGGCCTTTCAGTACTTGAAGGGAGCTCATGAGCAGGAGGGGAATCAATTTTTTACATGGTCTGATAAAGAGGCTTTAAACTAAAAGAGGAGTGGAAGAAGTTGTCTAGAGAAGTTGTGAATACTCCATGTCTGGATGCATTCAAGGCCAGGGGTTGAAACTACATGATCTTTTAGGTCCCTTCTAACCTAAGCCATTCTCTTATATATAATCCCCACCTTGCTACAACCTCCTTTCAGGGAGTCGATAGAGAGTAATAAGGCCACCAAGCTCTGCAGCATAAGTTTGCTGCATGACTCACAGAGGTGCATAAGATCAGTAACAGAGTTCAGTCCTCCCACAGCACTTGTGCATACCACGCTGATGCTGTAAACACCCACAGCACCCATATCATCCCCTGGCAGCACTCAGGGATTCCTACAATGTCAGAAATTAAATTTTTGGGACAGTCTGGCCCTGCCCTGCTAAGATGTTTGTAAACAAAAGGGTGTTCCTCTGCAAATTCCATGCCCCAGGAGACATTAGGGATGGGGTGGAAGGTCAGTGTCTGGGCAGGTGCACCTAGGAATGGAGAACATACCACAGGATGGCTGTGGAGGTTGGTTTGGCTGCAGTGTGCTCCTCTGCTGAGCGCTCTCCTCCCTTCCACCCTGACCTGCAGTGCCCATGGGCACATAGTGAGTGAGCAGCAACTACAGTTCTCTCTCAGCTCCAGATCTGGTAGCACCTATCTTATTTTCAGCTTGAAGTGCCAGCTCAGAGACTGTTTTATGCAGAAATGTATCAGTCTGTATCTGCAGAGATATTCACAGGGACTTCACACACCATCCAGTCTCCCCAGCAACGCTTGCTGACCATCTGTGTAAGAACGTTCATGCTGTGCAAAAAAGAATACGCTTGAAGATTATTGAGATTATGGCCATTAGGTAACTGCAGTCTAGCAAGCAGCATGTCACCAAATGCTCTACCTATCTTCCTTGCCATAGACAGGATAAAAAAAGACAGAAAGTGGGAGTAGGCAGGGAAAAGCAGAGCAGCCGGATCCTATAGCCCTCTCCTCTCAGCGAAGAGGCTATGGCGTGCTCGGTTCGTGCCGGATGTTGTGCTACAAGAGGCAGTCTGGTCACCTGGTGGCACTCCAGGATCACTGCACCAGACCGACATCCTCTAGGGAGGACAGGGAAGAAAAGCAAAATAAGCACAAATTTACAAACAATCACGTGGGGCTAATGTGAATATGCTTGGAAAGAGCCACTAGTGTGCACACACACAGAGCAAAACCGTCCAACATCTGGATGGAGAAATAAAATGCAAAAGTTCAGAAAAAAAAATTGCCCACTCGAGTTCTGCCTGATCTGTTGCCATTTCCAAGAATGACAGGAATAATTCAGGGAGCTCAGTTCATGGAAGGAGTGTGCAGAGGAGATGCAGAGGGCAGCAGAGCCTAGTTGAGCATGTGAATTACAGTAATTCTGCATTCTCAAGCCAAAAGTCAACAGGAAAGTTAAATAATATAGGCTGACCATTCTGTTTTGCAAAGCAGCCCTTCATGCTTTGGTACAAACCCGCGGTTTTCTTGAATCCTGACCATGCCACAGGCATGCTGTCTGGTAGCTGGCATTGGGCAGATAAAGCTCAGGGCTTTATCCTCAGCTTCTCACAGTCATCTAGAAGCTTCAGGGAGGTACTGAGACCTCTCCTCTGTCCTAAAGGTGAAGGTGGGTTGTGGTAATAACAAGCATAAGTAAACACGCTCATTTTAGATTGTCAAGGAATTCCATCAAGGGTCTTAGTGATAGCTACATGATGGTCTCCAATATCTGATAATTCTAATCTGTATTTTACAGCAGTGGTCTCTGCAGCTCTCAGTGCTCAACAGAATCTCAGATCCAAGCAGCCACGTGTACAGGGCATGTCTGTGACTGCTGACACATTTGGAACCAGACCACTGTACAGTCTGAACATAAATCAGTTGGGTTGAGCGTGAACTCAGCCACACCTAGAAAGAAACCCTGAAGCTGCTGTAGCAGTGAAAAGCGTTTAACAGACCTCAAAGTCTAAGAAATTATCAGCTGAAGGGAGGTAATTTAAAGCTGCAAAGAGAGAACAGGCTGCCTGAATTTGTGCTAGGATTTACCCATGACACTTGACCTATGTTTCCCTCTCCCATGAAGCAGCCCATGTTTCTTCAGCCAAAATGAATGACTTCCTCTGGTAATACTTCGCTTTGTGCTGCCCTGACCAGATGGCTCCAGAAATGCTCCCAGTGCAATGGAGATGTCTCAGGGCAGCTTGCTGAAGCACTGAGCACCACCAAGTCTGCGTACCTTGAAGATGCAGGCAGACCCAGCGCAGGATGTTAATGGCCACAGCCCCAGACTCCCCTGATCCTGGGTGACGTCAGAGAGTGCCAGTTCTGCTGCTGACCCCACACTGCTGAGGCAGAACAGTGGCCCAGGCTCTAGGGAGCTTTCCTTCCCTCTTTCATTCATCCTTTTGTGCAGACTATGTTGTCTTCTCTCTTTCTGCTTCATAGTCTTAGTCTGTGAGAAGGGAATATAGCAAGAACAAAGCTTCATATATTTATTTGAACAAACAAAACAATGAATGCATGAAGATGAGGCTGGAGGGCAAGGGAAAACTGCTGAATTTTAAGGGATTCCAACAGGTGCCAACCTACAATGGAGAAAAATGCCATTGCCTCACAGTTTTGTTGTGAGCAACTGCAAAGAGACTTTGCTTTGTGGGTGCTGGGCAGCACCACAACCCCACCCCAGCTGGGTACTCCCTTTGTCAGGCTGAGAAAGACACATTTCTAAAGTTTACACTACTCCTGCAAAGACACAACATACAACAAAAAGAAAATAACAGATTTTACGCTGAGCATTTAAAGATTACTAATCAATGAGCATTATTCACAGCTTGATAATGTAGCTGCCTTGCAATAATAATGCAAGTTATAGCTGCAGGGGAGCCCTAAAACCTGGCAGACATTGGCATCACCTGAACAGTGGCTCCTCTCTGCACACTGAACTGCCATCTCTGAGGCGCGTGTCTATCTGCAGTTATGACATTGCTACAGTGTGGTAAAATGAATGTTAATGGTGAAATAGTTTAGAACCCCAAAAATGGGAGGTTGAACAGAGCCCTTAAATGAAGCTACATTCCAATAAATGAAAGTCTGGGAACAAAACCAAAAGGGCCATGAGGCCCATGGCAAGAAGCTTTGGACCCTTTTTTATCCTCTCTTAAGGATAAAATGCTTGGAGTCTTTAAATCAGAAGTTTGGGCTGCAGGAGGAGGCTTTGTACACTGACATGAGGCTTTGGGCTCCTCACACTGGGGTGTGAGGCTTCAAAATAAAGACTCCTTTCCACATTACAGAGGCATTGAGCCTCACCTCAGGGTGCAAATTTTCTCTGTAGTCTTTTTTTGGTTTTTCCTTTCAAGGCTCAGAGCCTTGGCTGGAGGGCCCAGAGCCTTATTTCAGATCAGAAACATCCTTTTCAGTTCCAAACCCAAGTACCAGAGCTTGAAACCTCTTTCCCGTGTCTGAAGCCCCATCTGAGAGCAAAACCCAATCTGGGAGACTCAGAGCTGGATTTGAAGGCTTCAGAGCACCACCAGCCTACTGCTGGCAGGGAGCTTCGGAAACAGAAAGGACCATGTTCCTAGGCAAGCCCTGCTGTGCAAGGGTTAGCTGAACAACAGCCAAACAACTGCAGGACTGCTGAGGCAGGACTGAGGGCTGACGGACACTCACCTTTGACCCAGGGAGAGCCAGGACAAAGCTGATGACTGCTTGACCTTTGGTGTGCTGTATGGGAACTGCTGAGTCGTGGCCTGAACCTCTGATTGATCACCTGAGGCGAGCCATGAGTCAGCCAGAGGAGCACAGGTGAAGGCAATTCACCTGTGCTGCCAGAAGCCAGGCTGCACCCCTCCTAGACCTATTGAAGAGCTGGCTACCAGTAGGGAAGGATCTCTTCTGGAGATTGCCTCTTCTGGTGTTTTGTAGGTGAGCCCAGCATAAGGGTAAGCTTTCCATTTATTCTCTTTTGTTATCGTTGTCCACTTTGCCTACCTCTCTTGATTATATTGTGATTGTAACATCTTGATATCCATTGATTATACAGTATGCCCAGCAAATGCTGGACTGCAGAGAGCATCCAGCAGAGGTCTGAGCTCTGGGAAAGCCTCAGGCTAGCTGGTGAGAAGACATGCCTTCTGCTCAGAGTAGGGTACATCCATGCCTGCATGTGGCCCAGAGCCCAGAATGTTCTCCTGGCAGGGAGGAGCGTTACTGTGAAATAAGCCCAGGCAGGAGAGGAGGTGATGATGGCCGGAAACATTTTGCATCTTCATTTCTCATTCAGAGCACTGCTCAGGTGAAAACACCAGCAGAGCTGACAGTTTCAAAATGCTTTAGTCTGTGCTGAAGTTTCAAAGCAAACCACAGACCTTTTACTACGCACACTTCTCTTTATGGTTTTCCCTCAACCTGGTGGCAACTAACTCTTCTCTTTGCATTTGTTTTCTCCCATAACACCGACTTGAAAAGCAACGATGCCTGCCTATGCTAAGATAGCCAGTGAATAACTGGGCTGAAGCAGGGAACCATGGCTGTCTATATCCATTCAATGCCTCAAATAGCTGCTGCTGCCCTGCTGCTGCCCTGCTGCCCCCTGCTGCAGCAGCAGGCAGTGACACATGGCAGCCCCTGGCACCCTGCCTGCTGATGCCACCCACCACCTGCATCGCACCTGCCTCTCTCGCATTTCCGTGCCCACCACCACCGCTACTCATTGTGGTTTGATCCTGGTGGTGCTCACCCGCGCCAGCCTTGCAGGCTCTCTGGGATGCCCTGCCTGACCTTTCCACCCCTGGCTGGCAGTGCCCATGCTAGCAGTGCCTGTGGTGGCTGCAGCCCCTGCTCTGGCCGAGGAAGGGCTGGGAATCCTGCTGCCTCCTGCTTTGGTGTGCATATAGTGCTTGCCCTGTTATGAAAATTACTTCTGCCACATTGACTCATGTTCTTGGTGTAGCACCAGCCTGGGCCCTCGGCTCTCTTTTAGGGCTTACCTGTTAGTGCTAGTATCTGCATCCTATGTATGGGATGGATGGGGCAAACAAATTTTCTTCTCTGCTTTAGAGGCATATGTCCCTGCCCAACTCTTCTATAATGGAAAGGTGGATTATCTTGACCTTCAGTGACTCAGAGGTCTTCCGTCTCATCTCAAGAAGATTCTGAAAGGTAAGCGCTCTCACTTCCAGCAGCTTTACCACAGGTCCTGACTGAAGTTCAACCAAGAGACGTCCCAGCAAGGGAGCTGTGGGTAATGAAATGTGATTAAATGTAAGGAGAGGAGACTTGAATTTTAATGAGATGAAAATTATTCTAGAGAAGGCAGCATCCCTCTGGGGTGGAGTATCCTTTAAGTTAACATCTTACTCTTTATATCCCCAACTGGGATACTAATTTATCTTCTGCTAATTGCAGGCTCTGTCCTGAGTGTTTAGTTAGAAACTTTTTTTTCTGAACTCCTGTTCTGATTTTTCTTGCTTTTATTCTCTGCTCCAAGCTCATTATGGTGTGTGGTGGGGACAGCAGAGATGTGCTGAGCAGAGTCAGGTCTCAGTCCCTTTTTTTCTAAGAACTCTGACAGACATCACCAATGGCCTCAAGCATCACTCAATTTCCAGAGTGCACAAAAGCAGCAATCTGTACAAAGAAAAAAAAAAAAAAAGAAACTTTAAGATCATCTCTTTCTAGACTCCAATCTCAAACTGCTCTTTCTTAAAAGCAACTCATATGTACCCTTGTATGCTTTCTTCAATCTCATTTACAGTGCAGTAGTAAAAGCCACCAGACTTTCTTTGATCTTTGTTCTGTTCTTCCCCTGTTGCTCAGGGGTCGCAGAGAAGGTGGAGAGGGAGGAGAGAGAAAGATGTTAGTAAAAGCAGTTACCTCACTGAGTGATTATCTCTTTTAGTTTCTTTGGCTACGGAATCTCCCAAATTTGCACAAGCTTCTAGGCCCCACAGTCAAAATTACTTAAAATAAAACGCCACCAACAGAAATGGGAAGGACTCTCAAAATAGGCTTTTAAAGTCCTGCTACACAGAATCAGAAACAGCAGGTGAGGGACTGTGATTCTCCTCCATCTCCAATCTGTTGCTAATCATTTATCTATTCAGAGATGATTTCACGTTTTGGCTCTTTCACAACGTTTTACCATTACAGGGTCTGGACTCTAAGCCTCAGTCTCTGATTCAGAGACTAAAAACTGGGCCAAGCACTTGGGTCTCAGTCTGGCCCTTGTGTCTGGCTCCCCAACCATGGGTTCTGGGCGTAGTTTCCAGGGCCAGTGCTCATTTCCCAGCCTGACTGCCTGCTCCCCATCCCCGGGCTCCGTTCGTGGGCCCTACAACCGGTTTCCGGCTTTCAGCCCCTGAGCCTCTGTCCCGAATCCCAGTCTTTGGGGCTGGTGTCAGATCTTGGGCCCTGATCCCTGGGCCAGGACCTGAGCCCTAGGCCTAGCCGTGGTTCCCGGTCCTCATTCTCGTTCACCAGCGCCCCGACCCCCTCCGCTACCAGCCGCGCGTAGCACCCGGAAGTGAAAGCAAGCACGCCGCCGCCGCCCAGAAGAAGCCGGAAAGCCCACGCTCTCGCGAGATCGCCCCACCCAATCAGCTGCCGCAAGGTTTCTCTCCTTCCCGTATCCCTTCACTCCCAGCGCCACGCCGCGGCCGCAAGAACCAACGACCAGTCGGTTCTGGTCGCCCGGGTTATGACGTCACCACGCCGGAAGCGCCGCGAGAGAGGAGCGGAGTTGCGGGAGGAGCGCTTTATTTGGCCGCCAAAGAGGGGCTGGCGGAAGTTTTACGGCGAGCAGTCGCCTACGCAGCTGTACCTCGTAACTTGGCCAGCTTTAGCACCCTGGCGAGGTCGCAGGCGGCGTGCACGGCGTTGACGTCCTTGGTCACCAGCTCCTGCTTGTTGTT